CACCGACTTTGGTGTCATCCGCAAATTTACTAACCCATCCTTCTACGTCCTCATCCAGGTCATTTATAAAAATGACAAACAGCAGTGGCCCCAAAACAGATCCTTGAGGTATACCACTAGTAACTGAACTCCAGGATGAACATTTCCCATCAACCACCACCCTGTCTTCTTACAGCTAGCCAATTTCTGATCCAAACTGCTAAATCACCCTCAATCCCATTGATACTAAAGGATGCATTTTGAAAGATACCATTGAATCTACTCCCATTACAATCTGGATGATAACAGAATTTAAAAGAAGGGCATCAAGATCTAGGTGAACTGTTGAAGTGATCAGGATAGTACCAGAGCTCAGAGCCTCCCGAAATGTGGGTTCCAAAGCAGAATTGGCTGTATGTCTGAAAGGAAAAGCATTTCATAATTATGGAGGTAGATGTGGGGAGTGGGGCAACTTTGATAGCTCTTTTAAAGAGCTGACAAGGCCATGAAGGCAAAATGGTCACTTGCAGATCTGTACTTGAGAATAAATGTTAATGACATGATGATCTACACAGTGGTGTAACAGTGACATCAGTCAGATGCTATCAAGACACTGAGGAAAGCAAAGTGGGGATAAATTTTCTGGCTTGGCAATCAGTGGCTAGTGGTGTGCCTCAAGGATCAGTGTTGGGACTGCAATTGTTTAAAATTTACATAAATGATTTAGAGTTGGGGACCAATTGCAGTGTGTCAAAGTTTGCAGTGACACTAAGATGAGTGGTAGAGCAAAGTGTGCATGGGACACTGCAAGTCTGCAGAGAGATATAGGTTAAGTGAGTGGGCAAGGGTTTGGCAGATAGAGTACAATGGTGGTAAATGTGAGGTCATCCATTTTGGTGGGAAAAATGGCAAAATGGACTATTATTTAAATGGTGAAAAATTGCAACATGCTGCTGTGCAGAGGCATCTAGGCATCCTTATGCATCAAATTGCAAAAAGTTGGTTTGCAGGTGCAGCAGTAATTAAGAAAGCAAATGGAATGTTGTCCTTCATTGCTAGAGGGATTGAGTTTAAAAACAGAGGTTATGCAGCAGCTGTATAGGGTGTTGGTGAAGCCACACCTGGAGTACTGTGTATGGTTTTGGTCTCTCGATAAAGGATGTATTGGCAGTGGAAGGGGTGCAGAGGAAGTTCGTTAGGTTGATCCCAGAGTTGAGTGGGTTGTCTTGTGAGGACAGATTGAGTAGAGTCAGACTCTACTCATTGGAACTTAGAAGAATGAGGGGGGAATCTTACAGAAACAAACATATAAAATTATGGAGGGAATAGATTAGATGGAAGCAGGGAGGTTGTTTCCATTGGGTGAAACTGGAACTGGGGGCACCGCCTCAAAATAAGGGGGAGCAGATCTAGGACTGAGTTGAGGAACTTCTTCACCAAAGGGTTATGAATCTGTGGAATTCCCTCCCCAATGAAGCAGTTGAGGCTGCCTCGTTGAATGTTTTTTAAGGCAAAGATAGATGTTTGAACAGTAAAGGGATTAAGGGTTATGGTGAGTATGGAACTAAATCCATGAAAAGATCAGCCATTATCTTATTGAATGGTGGAGCAGGATCGATGGGCCAGATGGCCTCCTAATGCCTCTTTCTTCTTTTTGAGACGATGGACAGCTATTATATGGTGGTCAATATTCTTTACAATATATGTAAACAGATGAGTTTATTGGTAGTCAGACAAGAATCACCCTTGTGTATGACGGACACAGCAGATTCAGAGCAAGGACAGTTTAGTCGAAGACAGCAGTCTCTACAGTGACTCCGAGAAAGCTCCAAACTCTAACCCCCCAGCCTTCACGGTGGGCGGTATCCATAAGGACAAAATAACCTAGAATTCTATTCTTGCAGATAGTTGATACAGAAATTGACCTCAGAATTTAATGCTATTAATATTTAAATCATTAAATAACCTCTCACTACTTTTCAAATCTGAAGTGTAAATTTCCCACTATCTTTTTGTAACTCAGACCTTTGAAAATTAGAGTCAGGACTGCTGATCCAGTTTTACTGGTCTAAACTGGCCACTGTTTATGGTGTTTATTACAGTTGTATTTAAAGGAAGAACTTACATTTGTATAGTGCATTTCACAATCCAGCAATGCCTTGCACCACTTTACAATCAATTAAATATTACTTGTGCCTTCAATGTTTCAGTATCTGACATGATGCAGCTAATTTAGACACAGCAAGATGCCATGAATAACAATGTGATAATGACCAGATAATGTATTTTATTTGTCACACTGGCTGCAGTATAGTTATCGGCCAGGACACCAGAAAGACCACACTCTTTCAGGTAATGTTGTGGCTGTTGTACATCTGTCCTAGATGGTAGGTAGAGTCACCATTCAACACCTCATTCAAAAAGTGGCTCATCTGGCAGTGCAGCATCAATTTGGAATATTGCCTTAAGTCATTCTGTGGAATCTTGAGCCCACAAGTAAGGATAGGATCCATTAAGCCACGGTTGACAGCTGACTTCAGATGAACTAGTCACATGCAATTCCCAATTTAATATTAAAAGATTCCTACAATTTGGACCTAGCTCCAACTATTTGGAATTGAACTACATTTGCTCTTTTGAGCCACTTAGATTGGAATCCCTACAATGTGGAAATGGGTCCTTCAGCCCAACAAGTTCACTCCCCCTCAGAGCATCCCACCCAGACCCGTCTGCCTAATCTACACATCCCTGGACGCTACAGGCAATTTTGTATGGCCAATCCACCCTAGCCTGCACACCTCTGGACTGTGGGAGGAAACTGGAGGAAACCCACACAGACACAGGGAGAATGTGTGAACTCCACACACAGTTGCCTGAGGTTAGAATTGAGCCCAGGCCCCTGATGCTGTGAGGCAGCAGTGCTAACCACTGAGCTACCGTGCCGGCCTAAATTCTTCAATTTATTAACTTGTTTTGAGTCCTTTTCCTCTTGTTTTTTAACATGGTGCTTACAATTCCTTGTTTTTCCATTGACTCCTTAGTCCCATGGAGAATTCAGTGTAACCTTGAGTGAACTGCTTCTGTCTTGGAAGCATTTACTTCGGGAGAAGCTGGATTTGCTAAGTGAGCTTGATGTGACTCCAGACGGGTACGAGAATGTCCGAAAAACATATGAGGCTTTTCTGAGCAGAAGTAACTCTGTGGATCTGATTGATGTCTACAAGATCTGTGCCAACTTAAAACCTGAAAGTGATCCTGCAGCAATACTGTCGAAGGTAAGCTATGAAATTCAAAGGGTAGGTGGCTAGTTACAAGCGAAAGAAGTGAGGAGGTGAGTGTGGAGCATAAACAGCTGGCATGGAGGTTTTGAACCAAATGGACTTTGTGTAAATTCTATATAAATTAGTCATTAGCTTTTTTTTTGTTGAAGTAGAAATATTGATCAGGACACCATAAATCTTTGTCTCCTTCAAATTTAGCAACCACCAACAATGTTCAGTAACAGCAGTGTACTGTCTACAAGATGCACTGCTGAAATTCAGCAAGGCTCCTTATGCAGCACCTTCCAAACTCTCAACCACTTCCATCTAGAAGGATGTGAGCAGCAGATACTTGGGAACACAACATGAAAGTTCCCCATCAAGTGGCTCAGCATCCTGACTTGGAAATATATTGCTATTCCTTCAGTGTCACAGGGTTAAAATCTTGGCATTCCCTCCCTAAGGGCATTGTAGGTCAACTCACAGCACATGGGCTGCAGCAATTCAAGAAAGCGGCTCACCACCAGCTTCTTCAGATTGACTGACTAGGGATGGGCAATAAATGCTGGCCCAGCCAGCAATGTCCTGTCCCCGCAAGTGAATTTTTAAATAGTGTTGTTTTTTAATATAAAGAATGACATGGGATCTCTTGTATCCATCCAAGAAACCAGTTGGTGTTGTAGTTTAATGCCTCCTTCAAAGACTGCAGTTTTCTTGGTTAACATTTACAATCTCAATTAACAGCAATTAGAACAACCCATTGCAATGTTACTGTTTCAGTCAAACACCTTGAAGTCTTGGGGAGCTATGCAAATGTCCAGATCAACAAGTTGACTGCAGTTCCAAATTTAACATCAAACCTAAGTACCAGATTTTTTTCCTGATGTGGGTGTCATTTCTGGCCACTTCAAAATGTCCCTGAGCTGAGTGGCTTGTAAGATTACTTCCTGACCTTTGAAACAATTAGCCATCCCACTGTGAATCTGGAGTCCCATGCAGACCAGACAATTGGTAGTTTTTCACTATTCCTGAGACTAGACCATATTCCAGAACAATGAATTGAATCTTTTGAATTCCACTGCTGCTGTGAGGTTTGAACCTGTTAGCAAGAACCTTGGTCTCTGGATTATTGGACCCATGGCTTTCACCGTGCCATCACCTCCCCTGACTGACCTGGAATTGAATCACAGTTGCTTTGCAAAATACTCTTTGCAATTGATTTATTTTCCACTGTTTCCCTAGAAACCAGAGGATGCAACTTTGAATCTTTAATAAAGTGACCGAAAGGTGGGTGGAGTTGGGGGGGGTACAGAAATTGCCAGGCTGTGTGGAAAGACCAGTAGAGTGATTATTTTTATTCTTGGTTTTGCTTATTTTTGTATGGTTGAGGTAACCTAATGCATTCTTTTTTTCAGGTGGAGCTGTTGAATTTCCTGTTGGGTACTTCAAAACCATCAGAGGATTCATTTTCTCCAGCTCCCACTTCTCTGGTCAAAGAGAGTAATCAGACCATTGCTAAGGTGACAGTGAAACAATTTTGAGAAACCAAACTTTTAAACTTTATTTCAGGTTAATGGTCATCTTGCAACTGAGGAATGTTGTCCATAGTTGACAAAACAACACAAGATAAATGAATTTTTTCCTGATGAAGGGTCTAGGCCCAAAACGTCAGCTTTCTTGCACCTCTGATGCTGCTTGGCCTGCTGTGTTCATCCAGTTCTAAACCTTGTTATCTCTTATACAAGATAAATGAGGGAGGGAGGAATATCTGCTCAATAGTTTACTTGAGAATATTCAAGGGGCAAAATGTCAGTGATGAATAGAAACAAAAAAAACAGATTTAACAACCTGCTAGGTCTCCTTGGCTCAGCTGACTTTCCTGAGTTCGAAACACATAACTGAGGCCAACACTTTGGTATTGTACTGAAGAAAGATTCCCACTTACATCAACAGAACTGAGGTTGAGAGCGTCACATTCCTCAGTGATGATAACTGACAACCTGTCCTGGACTTCCCACATAGATACGATGGGCAAGAAGGTACAACAATGCCTCTTCTTCCTCAGACCACTCAGGGAATTTTGGCTTGTCCATAAGAACCCTCACCAACTCTTACAGATGGACCGTAGAAAGCATACTGTTTGGGTGCATAACAGCCTGGTACATCAACAGCTCTGCCCGGGATCATAAACTCCAGAAGGTTGTGTGCACAGCCCAGATGATCACAGAAACCAACCTTGCATCCATGGACTCCATTTACACATCCTGTTGCCACAGAATAGCTGCCAACATCATTTAAAGTCCCATTGCAACTGGTAATGCTCTCCTACAACCTCTTCTGTCAGAAAGATAGAAGTCTGAATATGCACCAGCAGGTTCAAGAACAGCTTCTTCCCTGCTGTTAGACTGATGAATGGACTCTGTAACTTCAAATAATGCTGGTTTTGCTCATATTGGTCTTGCCTAGTGCATGTCCTGTGCAGTGTAACCTGGATGCCTCACTCTGTCCAAGTTTTTTAAAAGCTATGATCTGTGTCCTTGCTAACAATGATCTGCTTGCCCTGCTCACAAACAAAGCTTTTCACTGTACATGGGTACATGTGACAATATTTCAAATCAATGAAAGAACTAGAGATTCTCAAGTGAGGCATCAAAATGATGTTCTGTCTACTCCCGTGACAGCTCTTGATAGTCCCAAGGTACTATTCAAAGAAGTCTTGAACCCCCTGCTCATTCATCGGTCATCAGCCCTTAACTCGTTCTGCTGCCACACCTGTTTTTCCAGTACTTTCTACTTTTATTTCAAATCTCTTGTATCTGCTGTAGTTTACTTTTGTTTGGTTGAAACTGTGGTTCTTGTGCTGGGTGGCATTTATGTATCTATCTGAATAAATGCTTGTACATCTCAAAAGTGAGGCTCCAGTTCAATCCCTTGGAGGCAAGGGTTCAGATTTGCGAAGATGTAGAAAATGAAAGTAGAGACAAAGCCAAACAAAGGAAATGATTGGACAGGCAGGTGGGACTAGTTTAGTTTGGGAACAAGGTCAGTGTGGGCTGGCTGGACCGAAAGTTCTGCTTCTATGCCTATGACAGGACAACACAGGTTAAATGGAAGAGTCAACGAACTGAGAAGACTAGACTTTATCAAAGGAGTAATAGAATAAAAATAAAGGTTATGGTTGGTTCACTTGCTGAGTTGGTTTGCACTTGTTTCATTACCCTGATGGGTAACATTTATCAGTGCAGCCTCCAATGAAGTGGTAATGAAATGTCTGCAAACTAACAAACCAGCTCAGCGAGTGAATCAACCACAGCATCCACAACCCAAGCTACAAATCTACTCGAACAGTTTTAAAAACTCAAAGCTCTATATCTGAATGCATGTAGTGAGAGCACAAATAGAAATGAAGAAATATAATCTGATGGGCAATGTTGAGTCATGTGGTGATGCTGTTGCTTTGAGGTTATCTTTTCCTTTTTATTTTTCGAAGAGATAACACAGGCATGCCTGCGTTATCTCTAAGAATATAAACCATTTGGGAGCCCTTGGGTTTTTATAGGCTGAATGGGTGTGACCAGATCTCACATCGAGATTTCTGGGTTTCCAATTTTTCATTAACATCAGAAGTCTTTTGGGGCCATAAGGGAATAGGAAGGTTTAGTGAATATCATCTAGCTGTTACTTTATCTGAATTTTCTCTCCTGGGTTGGAGAACTGCATATAAGGATCTCTGGAGTTGCCCTTTTGGCAAGGGTTGTGTTTATAGGATGTTACTATTTTTCTTTTTTTAGTATTCATTCACAGGATTAGGGGGGCACTGTCCAGGCAGCATTGTCCACCCCTAATTGCCCAGAGGGCAGTTTGAGTCAACCACATTGCTGTGGGTCTGGAGTCACATGTAGGCCAGACCAAGTAAGGATAGCAGTTTCCTTCCCTAAAGGACATTAGTGAACCAGATGGGTTTTTCTTACAACTGCTAATGGATTTGCAGTCATCATTAGATTCTTTAATTCCAGATATTCTATTGAATTCAAATTCCACCATCTGCCATGGCAAGATTAGAATCTGGGACCCCAGAACATTATCTGGGTCTCTGGATTAACAGTCCAGTGATAATACCACTAGGCCATCGCCTTCCCTATACTATATTGGAACAGGTACCTAGTAATAGGTACTGTACTGATTTGATTGATTTAAGTTTTCCAATAGTTACTCTAAATTCCTTTTTTAAACTATGTATTTAAATTGTATTTTGCCTAACATTTGAGTAGTTTGACCAGTCTCATTGCATCTGGAATACAGCACTTTGCATCTACCTTTTTAAAATAAGAAAGTTAGAGTCTAGGCTATCTTTTAAAATATTGGGGGTCTGGTCAGGTCCATAACACATGGCTGCAAGATGGTATTGATGGTGACCTGAAGCTCAAGGATACAGTACACTGAAGAATGAAGGAATTATGGGAAAAAGTGGCTTTTTTTTTAATGACGTTATTCACACAGAGTAATGATCCAAATTGAGGAAAGAAAGATGCGCAAATGATGTAGGTAGAAGTGGGAAATCTTCAAGACAAGAAGTCACCTGTGGGAGTGGTGTACAGTCTCTCTGACTAACCATGGGATAGCATGGAGCATGAAGAAATAAGTTTGAGCATGTTTAAAAGGTGCAGTGATGTCATAGAATCCCTACACTGTGTGGAAGCAGGCCATTTGGCTCCAGTTCATGCTGACCCTCTAAAGACCATCCTACCAGACCATCCCCACCCTATTCCTGTAATCCTGCATTTCCCATAGCTAATGCACCTACCTTCTAAGTCCATGGACACTCTGGGCAATTTCGTATGGCTGATCCACTTAACTTGCACATCTCTGGACTGTGGGAGGAAACTGGAGCAGCCAGAGGAAACCCACGTAGACACAGGGAGAACATGCAAACTCCACATAGTCAAAAACTTTAAACTCCACACAGTCACCCAGCTGTGGAATTGAATCTGGGTCCCTGCCATTGTGAGACATCAGTGCTAACCACTGTGCCACCCTGACTAAAAATGTCAGGTGTGCAAATGAAAGCTCGATGAGGACTTCACCGAATGTTTTTGGGATAGTTTCATAATGCAGCAATATTTGGAGTTGACCAGAGAGCAAGCCAAACCAGACCTGGTACTGTGCAATAAAATGGGATGAATTAATGGTCTTGTAGTGAAGGCACACCCAGGCACCAGTGACCATGAAATGCGTGCAGTCTCCATTCAGCTTGGAGAGATGATTGGGTCCAAGTCAACATTTCAAAAATTAAAACAGGGCAATTAGGAGGGTGTTGAAGTAAATTGGGTTAAACAATAGGTCAATGGAGGTGTAGTGGCAGACTAAGGGGATATTTCAATTTGTATAGAATACATTCATTCCAACCAGTAACAAAAACATTAAGGGATGGACCCACCATCTGTGGTTAATTAGTGATATTAAAAATAATATCAAAATTTGCAGAATAGGCATCCAATTGTGTAAATACAGGTGGCAGGTAAGAACATTGGACAGATTATATATTTTTTTAAAAAAAGTAAAGAATGACCAAAAGATAAATAGAGCGAAAATTAGAGTATGACAGAGAGCTGGGCAGAAATAAACAGTTTCTACAAATACTTAGACGAGTTAATAAAGTGAGCATTGATCTCGTATACAAGTGAGACTGAAGAAGTAATGATGGAAAATAAGAAACTGGAATATGAATTGGACACTATAGGGTGCAAATAACATCCCAGATCAGCGATAAATCAGGAAGAGGGGCGATCTTGGGGAAAATTGCAATCACCAGAGAAGTGGTACTGAGTAAATTGTTGGAGCTGGAGATTGACAAGTGGTTAGCTCCTGAAGGGCTTCTGCCTGGGGTGTAAAAGATATGGGTAACACTAGAGGGGTTGGATGTACTTTACTAGCTCCTGGGAAATAAACAGGAAGATGTAGAAGGTTGAATAAAGGTTCAGGAAACAAGCAATATCAATCAAGATCAAATACTGCTTGACAAGGAGAGTTTGGGGAGAAATGTTAGATTGTTTTCAAAAAAAAAAAAATGTTGAGCCTGATGATTCAGAAAACAGCAAACTACTTCTGTTGGCTTAATTTTCATGAATTGAAACATTACTCAAGCAAAGATTAAACAGTATCCTCCAAAGCATAAGCAAGCCTTCAGACTCCTCAGGAGTCTCCTCGTTCCCTCTCGGCGAGTTTAATAATTTTTTCAGAGCAACCACTGAATAATATCAAATGCTAATGAGAAAATAGCTTGAATATCATGAGCAGCTTTCTTGCTGAATCTTTAAATCCGACCTCTCCAATATTTAATTCACATTGCGTTGCACAAATATAAAATCAGTGCCTCTATTTGTGCCCACCCCCCTCCCCACTATCTTCCTGATTCTCCCTCCTTTTCATTCCATTATTCCTTATGATGCTTTCCAGCTCCTTTGTTCTTGTGCTGCATTCGTACTAGTGCACTGCACTAGGAGTGTTAGCTTAGTGTTTGTGTTCAGGTGAGCAATTGAGACTTGAATTCTGAATCGAATGCTGCCCACTGAGCCACAGCTGACGCAGCAGAGTTTCAACCATTCTTGATGCAGATCTTTTGGGCCTCCATTCATGTTTTAAAATGATTCTACATAGCATTCCTTTAGATTTACAATTTATTGGACACTATAATTCTAGCAGCTATTTATTCTGAAGATAAAGTATGTTTTCTGATTGTGTAACTGCTGTTAATGATTTTTCTTTTTTGCATTGCTGTGATCCAATCTGCAGTTGGCACCAGCTTTGAGGAAGCTCCTTTGTGATTATTTGCACTTACTCGTGAACTCAAAGAGTGACCTTGCTCTGGCATGTATCTTCAATATTCCTGAGCGAGGGTTTGGAAAAACTGCCTTCACAGATCTAAGACATGCAGCGTGCAACAAGCAAACATCACTGTACCTGGTAAAAAAAAAAAAAAAAAAAAAAATCTAAAGCAACATTTCCAATCGTATTTAAGTTGATATGTTCTTTGATCAACACCACCCAATTGTATGATGCCTGCAAAAGTCAAATTCCCCTTACTGAAATGTAATCAGACCAAAAACAATAGTGTTATTAAATTATCAAATTTTACAGCACTGAGGAAGCCATGTAGGAATCAGTAGGAAAAGTGGTCAGAAGTTTGATTGAGGAAGATTTTAGAGTAACAACAAGCTTTAGCAAGGATTAGCCATAAAGTGGCTAAAGATAGTCCCTACTGGAGGATGTGCAAGAGGCTAGAATTATCAATGCAGGGGCATTGGAAACTCATCTGATTGGAGACTGAGTCAAAAAATGTGGAGCTGGAAAAGCACAGCAGGTCAGATAGCATCCGAGGAGCAGGAAAGTCTATGTTTCAGATCAGAACTCTTCTTCAGGATCCTGACCCGAAATGTTTACTTTCCTGCTCCTCAGATGCTGTCTGACCTGCTGTGCTTTTCCAGCTCCACATTTTTTTTGATTCTAGAATCCAGCATCTGCAGTCCTTTCTGTCTCCACGAGATTGGAGTGTGATACAGAAGTAGGGAGGGGTTTGGCTTTGAAGGGGTTTGAATGGGTCATTGAGCGATTGTGAACAGGACTTGGTGCAAGTGTGTGAAATGGCCATCCCTCGGGTACTTTATATGGTTACTCCTTCATGGGATGTTGACCAGCATTTATTGCCCATACCTAATTGCCCTTGAATTGAGTGCCTGCCTTGGGCTGTTTCAGAGGGGAGTTAAGAGTCAACCACATTGTTGCAGGTCTGAAGACAGATGTAGACCAGACCAGGTAAGGACAGTACATTTCCTTCCCAAAAGGGCATTAGTGAACCAGATGGGTTTCTACTATAATCAGTGATGGCTTCCTGGTCACCAACACTGTGAATCACTTTGCATTCATTAAGTTTAAATTCCACTGGCAGCAGTAGTGATATTTGAATGTGTCTCCAGAGCATTAGCCTGGCACTCTGGATTACTATCCAGCAAAATTGCCACGACACCACTGGTCTCCACCATATTTTATGTATGCCTCCTCTCAAAGGATTAAGATACATTTAACAAAAAAATTAACCGTTGCCCTGTTTTTCAAGAGAGAGTTTAAAGGGCTTTTCACCTCAGCTGTGACCCAGTAGCTGCGCACTCATCTCTGATGCTGAGAATTCTGGGATGTGCCACACTCAGAAACTTGGCACGCCAAGGGAGCGCCCCGCAGTCGGAGGGCCGGGGCCGAGGGAGTGCAGCGCTGTTGATCAGACGGTTCATCATTTCGATTAAAAAGTTAAATCAACTCAACTGCCCCTCGTGAATTTAAAAAAAAATCACGTGTTCAGGCCAAGGTTTAGGGAGTTCTCCCTGCTGTCCTTTGCCAAAACTAATTCGTTAAATAATATCATTTAAGCAGGTCACCTCGTCATTTCTGAACAGAAAATGCTGGAGAAACTCAGTAGGTCTGGCAGCATCAGTGGACCAAGGGACAGGGCTAATGTTTAGAATTCAATGACACTTTTTCTTAACAGTTCAGAAGAAGCATCGTTGGACTCAAGACGTTAACTCTGTTTCTCCTAACCACAGTTGATGAGTGCTGAGTTTCTCCAGCACTTTTTTAATTTCAGATTTCCAGCATCCTCAATATTTTGCTCTTATTACATCTAGTCAATCCAAAGTTCAAGGAAACAGCTCACCAACACCTCAAGTGCAATTATGGGTAGGCAACAAACCCTGGTCCAGCCTCACCTTGTGAGCGAATAAAATGAATGCATTCACTTCATTGCAACAGTGACAATTCAATTGAAGAAGGTATTTCATTCTGTACTACGACAAGGATTGTTGTACTTAGAACAGAGAAGGTTAGATGCTGGTTTAATCAAGGTGTTCACAGTCATGAAGGGTTTTGAAGAAGTAAATAAAAAGAAACGGTTTCCACTGCCAGGAGGGTTAGTAACCAGAGGACTTTGATTTAAGGTATTTGGTAAAAGAACTGGTAGCAAAATGAGATTGCCTTCTTGCCATGTCTTATGATTTGGAATGTGCTCCTTGAAAGGGCAGTGGAAGCAGATTCAATAATACAATTCAAAAGGAAGTTAGAAGAAAAACAAAATACAGGGCCATGGGGAAAGTGCAGGTTATTTGGAGTATTGGATTGCACCATCAAAGAACTAGCACCAGCATGATGAATTGAATGATCTGTCCTGTTATGCTATAATTTCATAATTACAATGCCTCAAAAATACTTCATTGTCCGTAAAGCAGATTGGTACATTCTGAGGTTGGGAAAGATGCTATGTAAATACAAGTTCTTTAGCTTGTTGACATCTGTTAAACATTATTGGTCACAAAACATTCACTTGGTTGTAATTTTCAGCAATAAATGGCAATAAAATCAGACATACTTTTTTTAAATAATAGCTGCCAGAGTACTATTCAATTACATTAATACATACAGAGCTACTCAGAACATCATAGGAGCTGGAATAGGTTTCTCATCATCATACTTCATTGTCTGGTATTTTGAGACGATTGAAATATACATTCCTGGCTGGTCACCCATCCTCCATTCCCAACAAACTTAAAGCCATCCAAACCTCACTGCCTTTATTCAAACTCTCATACCAAGTCCCATTCATTCATCACTATTCTGCTCTCTGACCTTCATTGGCACCTGGCTAAATAACACATTGATTTTTAAAATTCTCATCCTTGTTTTCGTATCCTTACGTCCTTGCTCCTGGTTACCTCCTGTAATCTCCTCCAGTCCTACACCCTTCCGAGATATCGGAGATAGCAAGAACTGCCAATGCTGCAGTCAGTCAATACAGTGTGGAGCTGGAGGAACACAGCAGGTCAGATAGCATCAGAAGAACAGGAAAGTTGACTTTTTGGGTCAGGACCCTTCATCAGGACTCTAAGGGTCCTGACCAAAAGGTCAATTTTCCTGCTCCTTTGATGCTGCCTGACCTGCTGTGTTCGTCCAGCTCTACGCTGCATTGACCCTTCTGAGATATCCCCATTCGTCTAAATCTAGTGTCTAACACCTGTCCAATTTTAACTGATCCTTCAATAACTACCTTGCCATGCCATTGCTGAGACCCTTAAGATCTGGAATTCTCTCCCTACATCTCTTAATCTCTCCACTTCTCTCTTCTTAAGACTCTCCTTAATACCAATCTCTTTGACTAAACTTTTTGTCTCCCTGCCCAAAATATCTCTGTCTGTTTTTGTTGACTCACCCTCCTGTGGACCACCTTTAAGAGACTTTGCAATGGTAAAGGAATCTAAATGCAAGTTTTAATTGATTTCCTTACTTGGGATTGGGTTCAGTTTCTTTTCCACTAAAACTACAGCCCAGAGCCAGTTCTTGACTGCTGACATTGCCATGCATGTGAATCATGTAAAGAGATTGCCAAAGGTCATTTTATCCCTTGTGTTTGTACCTCTCTGTACTGCATATTCTAACAAAGTGTTTTGCTTACCTCCTCCGTCAACCCAAGGCTGCAACATCCTTTGTTAGGTGTTTGGAACTTGGAGGGAAAGGCTATGCTCCTTCAGACAAGGACCCACTGATGCAGCATGTCAAAGGGCTTCTAGATTTGGTGCATTTCATAGATAAATTGCACGAAATAATTGGAGAAACCCCGGATTCCAGGTAAGCGAGTGTTCCTTAATGGCTCATGGATTGAACAAAATGTGATGACTTTTTACTGTAAATTTCCCAATGATGCTGGTGTAAATTTTAATTAGCGACAAAGAGCCTTTATATTTGCTTTATATTCTATTAGTTTAGACCAATAATTACTAGAGTCTTAGAATGAAAAGAAATCTAATTGAGCTATTGGTGTGGCACAGTGGCTCAGTTGTTAACACTACTGCCTCACAGCGCCAGAGACCCGGGTTCAACTCCAGCTTCGGTGACTGTCTGTGTGGAGTTTGCACGTTTTCCCCGTGTTTGCTTGGGTTTCCTCCGGGTGCTCTGGTTTCCTTCCTCAGTTCACAGATGTGTAGGTTAGGTGAATTGGCAATGCTAAATTGTCCCGTAGTGTCAGGTATGTGCAGGCTAGGTAGATGAGCCATAGGAAATGCAGGGTTATGGGTATAGGGTAGGAGGTGGGATGCTCTTCAGAGGGTTGGAGTTGGTCCAATGGGTTGAAAGGCTGAATTCCACACTGTTGGGTTTCTATGATATGATATAAGACTCTAAAGGGGAATGACAAAGTACATATAGACAGGATGCTTCCTCTTAGAACAAGAGGTAGTAGTTTTAGACTGAGGGGTGGAGATTTAAGACAGAGTTGAGGAGGAATTATTTCTCTAACATTAACGAATTTGTGAAATCCTGGTAGAGGCTGTGACACGCAGGAGAATGGCGTTGAGGCTGGCCATGATCGTATTGATTGGTAGATCAGGCTCAAGGGACTGAATGCTCTATTTCAGCTTCTAATACTTATGTTCTCAAGTACAACATTGATTTCATTGAATCTAATAGCGCAGAGGGATGCCATTTGGCCCATAGTTCCTGTCCTGGCTCTTTGGAGCTGTCTATTCAATCCAAGTAGCCTAATCTTTTATCATGGTGCTGTGAACTTTCCCCTTTTCTGTTTCTCCCACCTCTTTTAAAAGTTATAATTAAATCTGCTCCAACCCCTCTTTCAGGCTCACATTTAAGACATCATCTTTTGCTTTGTGTTTTATGGAAAAATAGCTCTGATCTCATCTGATTCTTTCATCCATTAACTTTTTTCTGAAATTCCATGCCCTCGGGTTACTGGTTGCTCTGTCATGAGAAACTGATAACAGTCTCATGATTCTAAACAGCCCTATGAAATCTCTTGTTTTAATCTGTTTTATGATGAACAGCCCCAACTTCTCCAATCTCTTCACATAATTTGAGCTCTTCATCCATAATACTTTGTAATCAACCTCTTCTCTGGCTTTCTCCAAGATTCCGACATCCTTGCTAAAGTGTGGAACTCACAATTGGTTCTATATTCCAACAACGTATACCAAGCACGAAACAATGGTGAAAGTGTGATGAAGGCTCGTGATTTCTTATTATTTTGAAACCTGGATCATGGATAGACCAAACCATATGTAGCTTTAAGTTTAATATGTATTTCTACATTGAGCTAAGAATGGAGGGATATGGTTTTATTTCAATTTGAGTTCTGAGAGTGGCACGAAGTTGTCTGGAAAGATGGTTATATGCACTTAAATGAACCTTTGAGAAAACTTCTGAAAAGTTCAGTGCTTTAGAAAGTGGAGTAGAAGAAAGAAAAGATTTGTGCTATGCCTAGCAACATGATGTCCTACAACACAAAGAGACAGAGACGGAGAAAAGAGATAACCAGGTGTAGAGCTGGATGAACACAGCAGGCCAAGCAGCATCAGAGAAGCAGGAAAGCTGACGTTTCGGGCTTAGACCCGTCTTCAGAAATGGGGGAGGGGAAGGGGGTTCTGAAATAACTAGGGAGAGAAGGGGAGGCGGATAGAAGATGGATAGAGGAGAAGATAGGTGGAGAGGAGACAGACAGGTCAAAGAGGCGGGGATGGAGCCAGTAAAGGTGAGTGTAGGGGGGGAGGTAGGGAGGAGATAGGTCAGTCCAGGGAGGACGGACAAGTCAAGGGGGCGGGATGAGGTTAGTAGATAGAAGATGGGGGTGGGGCTTGAGGTGGGAGGAGGGGATGGGTGGGAGGAAGGACGGGTTTAGGGAGGCGGGATGAGCTGGGCTGGTTTTGGGATGCGGTAGGGGGAGGGGAGATTTTGAAGCTTGTGAAGTCCACATTGATACCATTGGGCTGCAGAGTTCCCAAGCGGAATATGAGGTGCTGTTCCTGCAACCTTCGGGCGGCATCGTAGTGGCACTGCAGGAGGCCCAGGATGGACATGTCGTCTGAGGAATGGGAGATGGAGCTGACATGGTTCGCGACTGGGAGGTGCAGTTGTTTAGTGCGAACCGAGCGTAGGTGTTCCACAAAGCGGTCCCCAAGCCTCCGCTTGGTTTTCCCAATGTAGAGGAGGCCACAACGGGAACAGCGGATACAGTATACCACATTAGCAGATGTGCAGGTGAACATCTACTTGATGTGGAAAGTCTTCTTGGGGCCTGGGATGGGGGTGAGGGGGGAGGTGTAGGGGCAGGTATAGCACTTCCTGTGGTTGCAGGGAAAAGTGCCGGGTGTGGTGGGGCTGGAGGGGAGTGTGGAGCAGAAATGGGGATTCCCGGAGAGAGTGGTCCCTCCGGAAAGCAGATAAGGGTGGGGAGGGAAAAATGTCTTTGGTGGTGGGGTCGGATTGCAGATGGAAGAAGTGTCGGAGGATGATGCGTTGGATCCGGAGGTTGGTGGGGTGGTACGTGAGGACGAGGGGGATTCTGTTTTGGTTGTTATTGCGGGGAGGGGGTGTGAGGGATGAGTTGCGGGAAATGCAGGAGACACGGTCGAAGGCGTTCTCGACCACTGAGTGGGGGAAGTTGCGGTCCTTGAAAAACAAGGACTTCTGAGATCTTCGGGAGTGGAATGCCTCATCCTGGGAGCAGATGCGGTGGAGGAGAAGGAGTTGGGAATAGGGGATGGTATTGTTGCAGGAAGGTAGGTGGGAGGAGGTGTATTCTAAGTAGCTGTGGGAGTCAGTGGGCTTGAAATAGATATTGGTTTCCAGGTGGTTGCCAGAGATGGCAACAGAGAAGTCCAGGAAGGAGAGAGAGGTATCAGAGATGGTCCAGGTGAACTTAAGGTTGGGGTGGAAGATGTTGGTGAAGTGGATGAACCGCAGGAAGTGCTACACCTGCCCCTACACCTCCCCCTGCATCCCAGGCCCCAAGAAGACTTTCCACATCAAGCAGATGTTCACCTGCACATCTGCTAATGTGGTATACTGTATCCGCTGTGGCTTCCTCTCCATCGGGGAAACCGAGCAGAGGCTTGGGGACTACTTTGTGGAACACCTACGCTCGGTTCGCACTAAACAACTGCACCTCCCAGTCGCGAACCATTTCAACTCCCCCCTCCCATTCCTCAGACGACATGTCCATCCTGGGCCTCCTGCAGTGCCACAACGATGCCACCCGAAAGTTGCAGGAATAGCACCTCATGTTCCGCTTGGGAACCCTGCAGCCCAATGGTATCAATGTGGACTTCACAAGCTTCAAAATCTCCCCTCCCCCTACTGCATCCCAAAACCAGCCCAGCTTGTCCCCTACTCCCTAACCTGTCCTTTCTCCCACCCATCCCTTCCTCTCACCTCAAGCCCCACCCCCATCTCCTACCTACTAGCCTCATCCTGCCCCCCTGACCTATCTCCTCCCTAACTCCCCACCTACACTCACCTTTACTGGCTCCATCCCCGTCTCTTTGACCTGTCTGTCTCCTCTCCACCTATCTTCTCCTCTATCCATCTTCTATCTGCCTCCCCCTCTCTCCCTATTTATTTCAGAACCCACTCCTCCTCCCCCATTTCTGAAGAAGGGTCTAGGCCCGAAACGTCAGCCGTCCTGCTCCTTTGATGCTGCTTGGCCTGCTGTGTTCATCCAGCTCTACACCTTGTTATCTCAGATTCTCCAGCATCAGCAGTTCCCACAATCTCAGAGACAGAGAAAAGTTCTTTTAGAAAGATGAGTATCCTTGACAGGTAGGATTTAAGGAGAATCCCAAGGCATGTTATACATATATTAGGAGCAAGAGGGTAACTAGGGAAAGGGTAGCTCTACTCCAGGACAAAGGAGGGAATCTATGAATGGAGCCAGGGGAAGTGGGTGTGATCCTTAATGAGTACTTCACTTCGGTATACACCAAGGAGGAAGACCTGGATGATGGTAAGAATAGAGAGGGGTGTGTTTATATTTTAGGACATTTTGATATGAAGAAGGAGGAGATGTTGGGTGTTTTGAAACCATTAAGGAAGGTCAGTCCCTAGGCCTATTGGGATTTATTCCAGGATACTGAGAGAGGCAAAGGAGGAGATTGCTGGGACCTTGACAGAGATCTTTGTATCCTCTTTAGCCACAAGTGAGGCCCAGAAAGACTGGAGCACAGCCAGTGTTTACCCTTTATTTAACAAGGGCAAACAGGGATAATTCAGGAAATTATAGGCCAGTAAACCTTACGTCAGTGGTAGGGAAATTATTTGGAGAGGGTTCTTAGGGGCAGGATTTATTTGCATTTGAATGGACTTCTTAAGGATAGTCGGCATGGCTTGGTGCGGGGGAGGTCTTGTCTCTCAAAGTCAGTCACATGACACAAGGTTATAGTCCAACAGATTTATTTAAAATCACAAGCTTTCGGACTGCTGCTGCTTTGTCAGGTGACGTTTGACTCATGTTAGGCTGGTCCAGAAGATTAAGTACATGGGGTCCACAGTGAGTTGGTAAGTTGGATATAAAACTGACTTGGCCATAGAGAGTAGTTGTGGAGCGATGTGTTTCTGACTGGAAGTCAGTGACTAGTGGCGTTCTGCAAGGAGTAATGCTGGGACTTCTGCTCTGTTATATGTAGAAATGATTCGGATGAAAATATAATCAGCCTGATTAGTAAGTTTTCAGACCGCACAAAAATTGGTTGAGTTGTGGATAGTGAGGAAGGTTGTCAAAGAATACAGCAGGATATAGATCAGCTGGAATGTTGGGTGGAGAAACGGCAGATGGAGTTTAATCA